ACCCAAAATCCAACAAGCCCCCCCCCCCCCCCCCAAAAAAAAAAAAACTCGTGACATTATGATTCGTATTATGAAGGGTTTTTTTAATACTAGTGATTTTGTAAGTGGTCAAGAGATCTGAATTCATCGATTTATTTTGAATTGGTTTGTAGGATTTGTTTGCCTAGCAACATTACCAGCTTTATATGAAAGGTATCATAATGAGGTGGATTATTTAGTAAGGCAAGGTAACCAAGATATGAAGAAACTATATAATAAGTTTGATACTGAAGTGCTCAATAAGATTCCAAGAGGACCTGTCAAGCAAAAGAAAAAGTTTTGAGTCATTTCTCAAAATTGGAAAGAAAAAAAAAAGTTCAAGAAAATTGGCTGTGGATTGTGTATAAATTAAATTAAATTATGAAAAAATGTAATTGTAATTTATGTAAATTGTTCAATGATGAAAGAATTGTGTATTTGTTTATGTAACTACCTATATTTTGATTACATTATTATATGAAAGTAATAGGAAATTGTCAAGTTTATATTTAAATTTAGAATTCTTTGGTTAAAAATAATGAAACTATGGAAAAATATTTTTAATAGATTTCACCTGGAAAAAATATAATATTGAAAATAAACCGATGTTGCATTTAAATAAGAGAAAAAATAAATTCACAGTTTGAACTTTATTATTTTATCTAAGATAATATAATTCAAATATTCTGCATTCATCGATTTAACGTAAACATCTATGACAAAATTGATACTCTTCTAATTGTTCTCTTAATTATGAGTAATTAATTAATACAGCTGCAACATCCTCTTTTATGCCAAAATCACCCTTACTTATTTATTTGTTACTTCAATGTAACAAAGAGTCAATTATTCCACCAATATTTTCAAGAAAAAAAAGAACTATAGAAAATAAAAAAAAATAGGTTACAAAAAATCAAGAGTTTTCATTCGAATTCGATATTCGATATCAAGGCAATTTTATTTTGAGGACTCAAACTCAAGACCTCGATTCGATATTCATTCCATGCATATTAAGGCTCATGACTTAATAGTGTGGAGGTGTCATACAAGAATGTGAAAATCTAGAAGTTTCGATGAAGTTATCTTTTGTATGCTAGTGGTTACAATTTAAACCAAGTGTCCACATGTCACTGGTCTTTATTGATGTTTCCAATTTTCAAACCTATAACCCTAATATGGAAGGGGTATACTTTCCACCATTTTTTTTCTTTCTATTTTTGTTCTCAACGTCTATCGAAAACAATTTTTCTATCTTCATAAAATAGAGGTAAGAATGTCTCTTGATACCCCACTTGTGGAACTACATTGAATATGTTATTTTTGTTCCCAACCCTTGAATAATTAGACCATTAGGGGTCATTTGGTGCACGGACTAAATTATCATGAGATTATTATTTCAAAATCCGCAGCCGCTATCCTTTGAGTGCGCACAGGATAAAACCTCGTTCCTATGCAATAACTTGCAAACCAGACAAGAGAGGTAACCCGCACTAGGCAAGCCCTGTGCGACAAGCTCGACCACATGATATGTATTTATAAATGGAGGAAGTAGATTTCTACAAATAAATTGTACTATATGATTGGAATTCACATCAAATTGTACAACAACTCACTCCAAGTTGTAACATATTTAGAAACAAGTTGACAATAAATAACTTAGTCAAATATGAATAAATAAATAAATTCAAGTCATACTATTATTATTATTATGTGATGGTAGTGCATGAGTAACTTTTTTTCGAAGAAAGATGACATGCTATGAACTTTTTCGAGGCAAACGACCTAACTAAAGTTATTAACAGATAATCCCAAAGAGTATATAGAAATCAAGTTGTTGAACCCCTAAGTCTCATGAAGGGTCAATTAAATAGTGGATAATCCCATAAATGTGAATGCTCATTAATCAATTACTATAAAATAGGCAGTTGCGATGCTTAGAAGGCGTTTGGACATGATGTGGTTGAGATTTGAGAAAAATAATAATATTTGACGTTGAAGTTGAAGGTGAAATTTTCATGGCCAAACGCCCCCTAATCTCTCAAACTTTCCTATCAAGCTCAACAACTTTTTGCCATTGTGTGAATCACAAACAAGAATCTGTTCACACTACATTTAGCCATGTGCCCAAGTATGCTACCATTTGGATAAGCACTACCTAAAAAAATCAGAACACTTTACCTAAAACACAAGGAAGTTTATTTTAACCACTCATTATCAAGTCTCCAACCATCTTTAAAAGCCATCACTTGATAAGAGAAACTCATTTTTTTGTGATAAGAAAGTCTTGTCAAACTGCTCTTATCATAACACACTTGAAAATATCATCCCTTATAAACCACTCGGACAAAATATGGTTAGGGAATTGAGAGCAACAGGAACAAGGGGTGTTGAAGATATAACAAATGTTGGCATTTGGAGTCTCTGGTTGATGATTTTGGTTTGCTTGTGTGTCATTTCAACAATCATTTTCTCTTGTGCAGACGGTGTTTCTAAAGAGAAAGAAGCAACAACTCATACCGATAACTATGGTGCTGGATGTGGTGCAGGCTGTGGTGCTGCCTGTGGCGCCTGACTAGTGAAAAAGGAAATAGTGAGAATCAAATCCACGCTTATTGCGTGGAAGATGACTCCCACTGATACCACTAGACTATAAGTCTTGCTGAGAAATTTCTTTCCTTCTGCATATGCTCTACTTGTAATGGGGGAGGGGGCGAGTGATAGCTCGATTACATGTCATTGTAATACTTCGATGGCAATGTTCAATTGTACAATTCTTAGTCAGCTATTTTTTCTGAGTAGACTGTAAGCAATACCCCAGGAAACATCATAATGAAGAAAAAAAAGGTTAAATCAACGATTTGGGTGTAAAATCAACAGAATCTGATTATGTTTAAAACCAAGAACTGTTTAATATACATATGTTAGTAAGGAAACTCAACTCAGAGAACAACAATTCCACACATTCTCAGTACTGTTGAAACTCGAAAGAGCCAACGATGAAAATGGATAAAGCTTTCTGTTTTTTTCCTTTTTGGCGCTTATTTTCATGTTACATAGATAGAACTAATTGTTTAAACGAAGCGAAGTACCAATGCAGATACCTGAGTGAAAATGATGCAAACGGCCTTACAAGAGTCCTTGAGTCTTTCGAATTTCAGTGGATGATATATCTATACGGAATTTCTCGACTGGTATAGGCACAAACATGTCTTTTAGCTCTGCTGGGATGTCGAAATCCTCAAGAACCTACAGAAATAGACATGATATAGAATTCATAAGAGTTTTGAAAAGATGAAGTGCTAGGCTGCAGAGAGTTTGTTAGTGTACCTTGAAAGTTCCATTAACATTTCGACCACCCACTAGGAAAGTACATCCCGTGTTTTTACATCCCAGAAGTATCTCCAACATCTTTCCATAGTCATTACCATAGTACTTTGGCTGGAAAGAGCAACTTGCAAAGATCAGTAAATACACTTCTGGGAACCTTCCTATTTATATAGCAGGTTATCACCCCATTTATCAGCAAAGTTGATTATGCAAAATTCAGAACCTAAATCACAAATAAGGAACACTTTTGGTATTTCCGAGTACGTACTTTTGTTTCATCTCCTTCGTATAAACTTAATCTAATATTTGAGTGCTAGTGTTTCTATACATGAATATAACTTGCATCAGGTGCTAGTTAGGAGATACTCTTAGAAACCAGCAGTATAGCTGAATGTTCTATCACCAAATTTGACAAAAAAATCTCTTCCTCCCAATAATTGTATTCCCAAACGTTTTATTGAATTTACTAAATTCTTGATCTCATGTAATCTCAATTTTGTTTTAGCAAATGAAAGAAGCTTACATGCACAAGTCTTGCAACTGTGTCTGCACCAATGACAAAAGCACTTCCAGGAAAAAGTTCTGCTTTCTTGTAAAAATATGGCTGGTTAGATACTATGACCGTCTTTCCTGCATTTTCAAAGGCCGAAACTGTTGAAATTTGCTTTAAGTCACTGCAATAGTTAAGTAATTTCGAATTTTAGTTAAGTTGTTTGAGTTGTTGAGATATTTTAGGTTGTTTTAAATTTCAAATTATGCATATTATGTATTTTATGTTGGCTATTCAAAGCCCTCAATGCTTAATAAAATTATTGAAAGCTATTGAAATCCATTTCAATCAATTGAGGGATATTTCTATCAATTCTTTTTGCTGCCCCATTTTTAAAAACACCAACAGAAACCATTCAAACATCAGCATATTTTGAATATGAAAACAGGGTAAGAATGTAATTGTTAGAATAGGAATATGTATACACAATCCTATGTTGGAAAGCCAGGGAGGAAAAAAGAGATTGAAAATAACGAAAACAATATACAACATAAACTTCATTCGTGCATGACATTGACAGAGGAAAATGCAACTGATTTTCCAACTAACTTGTCTTATGGAATATCGTAACTTGACTGAAAGTTACGTGTGTCCTCTGTTAGTAACTACTGGTACAACCACAACAAAGAAAACCATCTGAGAAGAAAACTTGTTTTACAGAGGTAAAGACTAGCATTGACCAATAAATTCATTCATAGCTTGGTCCCGCTAGACGAGTTGACCACCCACTGCATATAAGAGTCTTGATTCCTCTAACCAACTGATATTGAACAAGTTGCCCTCACAATAAATGCAGAGACAGAAATGGCTGCCCAAAAACTAGTCCCAGTACTTGATCAAACCATCCCAACCACATGTAGCAATTTTACTTTGTTCCAGAGGATGCCACTCTGCACCAATACAGACCCCTTCATGACACTTGAGAGTTCTGAAGGCCTTACACGATTTCCAATCCCAAAACCAGCATCTGCCTTCACCATCTCCTGACAAGACAAACCGTCCATCTGGTGAGAAATTGACCTGGCATGCATAACCAGCGACAATGTGTCCAGCAAATCTTTTCTTTTTATTCAGCTGAAATCTCTCTCGCGTACTATAAATAAGAATCTGGTTATCCAAACTTTGTGCTGCAATCCAATTCCCATTTGGATGGGGAGAAATAGATGGCATGGAATGCATATGGGGTTCACTTATGTACTTAATAACAACCGGAATACCATATTCCCAAACACGTAGTGATTTATCATCACTAGAGGTCACAAACCCCTATTATTATCCACAAAGGTAATTGTATTAACTGCCCCCAGATGTTGATCGTACTCTTGTGTAATCTGTCCACTGTTTATATCCCACTGCACAATCTTCTTATCACTCATACCAGCCAAAAGCACATTCTGCTTATCCTCATCAGGATTAAGCCTCACCACATAGGGTATCTTACCCGTCGAGAACGTTTGAATTACTTTTCCTGTTTCTGTATCCCAATACTTAATGTGCTTATCATATCCAGCTGTCAAAAACTTTGACCCGTCATTGCTAAACCAAATATCCCTCACTGCCTTTGTATGCCCCATGTAAGTCCTCATACATTTTCCAGAATTGTAAACATCCCAAATCTTCACCTTTGTATCCATCCCAGCTGACAAAATCAAATGACCATGCTTAGGGAAAAACCTAATAGCTGAAACCCCTTTCGTGTGTCCACTCCAAGTATGAACTAATCTCTTTGGTATAAAACAATGGTCATTAGCAGCCTTTGCATCCTTTGGTGGAGCGATCCAAAACCTGCCCTGATAATCCTTTTCCTCTTTACCATGAAATGTGCTCTTTTCAACCATAGGCTCCGCCTTATCTTTATCACCACCTCTTTCTTCACCCTTCTTCTTAGCATATTCCTCAGCATACTTTTTCTGCTCCTCAGATAATTCCACTTGTAACCCTTCTTTCTTTCCAACCCATGGACTCTTCCTGTTCTTCATCAACCACATGTCTGTGGACGGATTATCAACTTCCGTCATATCCACGTCCTGCTCATCACCCTCCTCCTCCATTTTTTCCTTCTTTTTCTCTAACTTCCTCTTCTTCTGTTCATGCTGTGGTATGTTATACACAGAAATAGCATCACATCCCTTCATTTTTTCCAAATCACCGATGTAGCTATTTTGAGAGGGATCAACGGCATACTCATACTTCTGAAAAGTATTGTACTGCTCGTCAAATACAAAAGGATTCAATGGACGCGTCCTCAACGAACCCTAGCTTGTGATTTCTGAGTCCTTGAGCTAACCCGTCCTTTGTGTACGGATGAGCTGGGCCGTAAATTGGTGCCCATAGTTGTTCGTACATCGAGTTGAATCCAACGAGGTGTTGGGTCGGGTCAAGGGGTTTGGATTGAGCTCTGGCAGCTTCGCTGGTGACTGTTAGGGCTAGCATGGTGATGTCAACTTTAGGGGCAGCAGATTTAGAAGGAAGCATTCGGATTGGGGAAGAATCAGGCGAAGAATTTTGGTCGGAAAATTGGGAATTAAGGTTTTGTGGCGGCGATTCAGCGATTTCATCGACGGGGTAGGATTGTAAGAGATCCATATTGGGATTTGCAGATATGTGAAAATCGGCAATATGTCACAACTCACAATATGTTTATACTTAATTGAGTACAAGCTCTGATACCATGTGAGAAATATAGGAGACGAGTATTATTGAATTGTGTGTCTACATTATTACATTGAAACCCTATTTATAGACATTAAATTAGACTCCTTTTCCTACTAGGACACTACATTATAATCCTTTTTCATCAAGTAGGATACTATATACTATTTACATTCTTATTCCTATTCTAAGTAGGATTGTATATACCTATTCCTATTCTATTAGTACTAATACTTAGATATGAAACCACTATGGATAAACTGTAGTGAATGCATATACTTCTCTCGAATTTCCTTTTCTTGTTTTCCTATTTGTATTGCATCAAAGACTGAGTGGCGATTTATAGATTAGTTTCTGGAAGGAAATAACCTCAAAGTACAGTTTAGCATTTTAAGCCTTTGAGAAGCTTGACAAAGAATTTAAAAAACAGATCATTGTAGCCGTTTTTCAATTCTTACTATCTGTGTGTGTAAAGTATCATATTTTAGAATCTTACCAACTTTTCAACTCTTACTATCTGTGTGTGTAAAGTATCATATTTTAGAATCTTACCAACTTTTTCAAATTGTTTAACACGATCATTGATTTGAGGTATTTCCAATGGAGGTTTGTCTGCATTGACAGCTGACAACTCAAAACATGGATATCCACCACCGCAAATACTGCATGAAAAAATTTGGCATTCTGCTATAAGATGTAATTCCTTAAGTGATAAACAGATCTTTCGTGATGCTTACAAAAAATCAATCTTTTCAATAGTTGAAAACCATGTTTGATGTTAGAAATGTGTACCTAGTTGCAATTTCCAAGAGCTTAAGGTGACCATCATGCAATGGATTAAAAGAACCAGACAGGATTATTTTCCTCTCTACATTAGACGTGTCTGCAAAATTCCTGCATCAACATATGCAGTGAATTGTTGGCTTCGGAATGTGACTATGTTGATTGCATTAACACATACCACTTGAGAAAGGATACACTTTGAAGCATATAATCCCACTGAGAAGTTGCTTTAGCTCTTCTTCTTCATCAAATTTCTTTTCATATTCATCTGGAACTTCTGATTCAGTCAAGTCTGGAACAAAAGTTCCTGGAACCTTGCTAGCATTTGCAATTGCCTGAACCAGAAGACAGAAGCTAATATAATAATCTACGGGATGGATTTGATGAAAGTTCCAGCATAGAAGAATTAGCAAATACTACTGAATAATGAGTCAAAGAGGATCTACAGAAAATTTCAACTGCAGACAGTTACC